GTTATTCCTCCTTCCAATCTTATCCTGTAATAAATTCCAAGCTATTATATCAATCACAAGAATAATATCATCAAAATTAGTGCAAATTACATTTCTTCCAGCAGTAACTTATCTAAAAGTATGTAAAAGTTCTCTGGTCTCTAACCCACAATTTTCTCTCTCTGAAAGGCAGTTTCACAGATTATGAGAGTTCTACGAGATTATTACTCGATCACGGTCTTAGCTAAACTTCACTGAGAGCATAACGCGTGTTAATAATCTCGATCGAGCTACGCAAACGGAGGGATTACCGTTCACGAGGGCCAGTAAACAATGCTAGTAAACACCTGACGTTGATACTAACCTAACACCTACGGAAGCTACTGCGTCTCCATACCATCTAAACAGCGCGGCGCTTTTCGAAACGACAACAACTGCCGATAATCGTCGATATCGTCGCTTTTTCCATGCAAAAAATCTAATTGATTATAAGTCAGAAAACATTGGATGCTTTCCAATTGCTTGCAAACACATCTTAACACAAACGTACACAAGAATGCACAAAGTATATCATTGCGTACAATTCAATTAGAACAGAATGTGTACGCTGTGCACGGTTGAGATCCGTTTCGGATAGAATTAGATTAATGTAACCAGTATTAAACAAAAAAAAGTAAAAATACCGGCCACTCAACGTCTTCCAATCTTATTTATAGCCGCCGCAGTTAGTAACATGTAATTGTTACTAGAAAACCAAACTTACACAGCCCTCGATTGAGTACAGATGTGTAGTGTTGTGTCGACAATAACGGATAATTGGAACGCAACTTGCGTCGCCGTGTGCATGAAAGTGTCTAGGGATATTGCAATTGGAAAGCATCCATTAGCGAAACGATCGTGCTTACATAATACACGCAACTACCACATTCAACGGATCTATCACAAGTATGAAGTATCGGGATATTTGCAACTTGCCGTTTTCACAAAATATAGGTCCGTTTTTTTTATTCCGGCTACTGCGAACTTTCTCGTTTTCATCAAATATCAAACATGTATCTATTTCATTTTAGGATTTCTCTTATTCAATTAGATTTATTTCACTCCAAGTTTTATAAGTGCATATTAGTTCAGCAAACTACAGAAAACGGACCTAATTTATGATTACCTACAGATTAAAGGTTAAGAGATTCAGCAATGAAATACGTTCAATGAATTTCTTGGTAGCTTGTAATCTTTAGATAATCATGTATCGTGAAAAGGAGTTTAAGTATCTTTGTCGTCCTTGGGATTCAATGCGACGAGGTCGCGATCATCCTAAGGATCGAGGATGGATTCGAAAACGCGACCTACCAACTTCCGCTTGGCCTGCAGGATCTTTGAGTGTATCCGATCGAGGTCCTTCTTCCGTCGTTTCCGCTGCGGCTTCTCCTGGTCGGTCGAGCTCCGCGTTATTCTGCCCATAATCTCGCGTAACAATGTCCGGAGTAACTGCACGAGTTACATACGTGTATATGTAGCCACACGCATTGTCAATATCGCCTGCGGTGACAAAACGTGAATACTGAATACTGATGCGCAGCGGTGCGCGCCAGTCAATGACGACTGACGAATACCTTCACGTATGTTTATTTACCCCTCGCTTTCTCGTAGCTGCGTGAATTACGGGGATCATTAACGGGAATTATTTTCTTCTTACGTCCATGACGTCATTGAGAAGAGGTTTAGAGAGGGAGAAATAGTTTGTAATTCCTGCGCAAGGGGTCGTCTCAAATGGAGCGATGAAGATTAAAGGATATATTCACACAACTTGTATAGTTAAACGGTAAATATATGTATAAAGAAAATTATACAATCATATTTTATGTCCTTATGATAGAAATGTGAGTGAATAATTTTGGTATGGATATATCCTAAGGATATATCAGAGACTTTGCATAAAGCATATAAGAGAATCAACTAATCAGAATCCTTTCTTTCCTTCCATTTTCTTCCATGGAAAAGAGGAACTTTGATTGGTTGATTTTCTTATACGTTATGTAAAAGTTTGTGCTGCGGCCTTAAAGCAAAAATCTTTGCATGACATATAATGCATAAAGGATAAAAAATCAGAGTCTTTTATTTCATGGGAAGGAAGGAAGTGAAGGATTTTAATTGATCTATTTTTTATGTAATATGTATTATGCGATACGCAACTTTGTGCTCCTGCCTTTAAATTGAAAACTTGTGATCGAAAAAAATACAAGATGGATAAACAGCTTTTATTAAAAATAAGAGCTTGTGATATGAGATTAATAAGAGATTAATAAGAGATAATTATTTTTAGAGATACGTGTTTAATTAATATTGGGAAATAAGAGATTTGAAGCGCGTATATAATTTAAATGTTCGCTGCGGAATAAGAAATCGTGATAAGGATTAAATTAAAAATACGTAATCAATGAATACCTATAAAGTAGACGAACAGCTTCTTCTTTAAAAAAGAAAATTCATCTTAACGAGAGATTATTTTCAGATACCCGTTTATAATTAGTGTCGAGAAATTAAAGATTTGTGAGACGTATGTATATAATTTATATGCTTGCCGTAGAGCGAGAAATCGCGATGACGGACTGAATTAGAAGTACATACATGATTAATTTGAATAAAATAAATGAACAGCTTTCGTGGAAAATGGAAACTTGCGATTTGTCAAGTATTATATCAAGTTATTGAAAAACTGGAGGATAATGGAAAAAAAAGTGAACGGATTTGGCAAACGGTTTTTCAGCATGAAAAACTATGATAGATCCGCATCTCTAATGATTTTTTTGATGTTGATTCAGAGTTATGAAGACTAACAAGTGTTTGAGCTTTAAAGAGTTAAACATATTTATATAATTTGTTATACATAGTATACTCCAAATCAAGTACATATTTGTTATTTTGTTTACGAATTTTTCTGATTTTCTGAGAAATTTCATAATAGCACCTTACGAAATATTGCTAAAAATATTCGATTCACAATTTTAATCTACTGTGTTTATTTTTTTTTATTTTATTAATTTTTTTCTATATTGTTTTAACGAGTAATAACTGCTGTGGAATTTAAGATCTTTGAAATCAATCCAGACAGATTAAAAAATTATAAAAAATAAAATTTTATTTTCAAAAATGAAAAATTTTTACTAATATAATTGGTCTTATAAGTCATAGGAAAAAAAATTTTTTTTATAAAAACATGTTGCTTTTTTAATAAGACATGTATCAATTAAGAGATTAATTTCAAATAATTACGATGTTTCAATACGTGATGTTAATCTTGTTTTTTTGATGATCTACATTTATTGTTGCTTAACTCGACATCTTGACTTGATAATGATAAGATAATGATAAGTGCTTATAAATAACATTTATCAAATTATATAAAATAATAACATATATTTAATAACAGGTAAAATAAAGAATATAATATACATATATTGTAATACAATATATGTATATATAATTTAGCCTAGGAAATAGTAATTATTATACAAAAATTAAGCGTTTAATTGGTAAAACAGAGTCTTTAGGATCCCTTTAACTTACAATGTGTGTATGTATGTGTGTTTCGATCTGTATTGTATTACAATATAGAATATTTGTAATACAATATTTGCTTAATTTTTGTATAATAATTATTATTTCCTTTTCTACAGATTTGAAAATTCTTTTCTAGGATAAAAGTATACGCATTAATACGTGAAATGGAGTTTATGCTGAGAATGACAAAAAAAATTCGAAATTGAGATTTTATTATTTCTTCCATTATGGCGTTCGAGAGCCATATCACATTGTGACAACATTATCACATCGTGACAACATTTTCACATCGTGACAACATTTGTTTCATATAAAAACTGTGCAATTTGTACAAAATTAGTTTACAGATTAGTAGTTTGTACAAAGAAATCGTAGAAGACGTAGAATTCTTAGAATTGGGCTGAAACATTTAACATTATTGTTATACAAAAATTTGTGTGAGATATTGTAATAGCATAGTACGTAGTGATGTGTCAATAACACGTAAATCGTGATAAATATGTGTGTAAGTTCTACTTACATTATGACTAATCATCTATAGGATTGCCTTAAGAATTAAACGATATAAATGGTCACATGTTTGTCAAAAACACTTATGTACATACTTTTACATTAAATTGATTGATCTTATTTAACTGTAGATGGATTAGTACCATATATTGGGTAAATTAACTTAATTGGTTGAGTAAATTGGGGTTAAACTATTTGAACGTGAATAAGTCATAAAGGCGTGAGCAAATATGCGGAAACAATGTGCTACATGAATAAATGTATAATATTAATTATTGAAAAATGTACAGTACTAACTATCGACGATGTCGCTCGTTTTATTATCTACATTTTTGAAATAGCGAGAAGCAAAATGCTTGTAACGCACACATATATAGTAATAAAAAAATATATATTTCTAAAAAAATGCGGAATGATTTATTAAATAAAAGATTGATTAAAAATTACATTTCACAGAATAAATTTTTTGTATCTTATTGTTAATTAAAATAGATATAGGCGTTACGTTAAAATTCAAGACGAGACGTAGGGGCGTGGATGGCGGACGTTGTATAAATGTAAATGAAAAATGTAAACGTTTAATTTCGGTTGCAAAAAAAAGATCATTATTTTTACGCATCTATGATTGCTTTGCGAAATTGGCTTCTCACTATACAAACAACTGTAGCGAGTTAATGAATTGCAAATAATATTGTAGTTTGCAATATAACGTGTGCTTGACTCATCAGAAATATAAAATCTAAAATTCTATTTCGATTTCCACTTCTAACCAATCAACAAAGCGCGCATTTTTATGTTAAGCTGTTCGATAACGCATTTGAAGATCGATTAAATCGGATAGATATAATCACGTAATCATTCCTTGTTGTGTCGTGCAAATCACGTGTTAGACTGGATCGCTTTGTTCGATTCACCTCGTGGCTTTGGAATGAAGAGAAAGCATATTATGACTCAGATCTTTGTCAGTCGGCCGTCAAGTTCGTGTCATTTTCTGATAATTTATTCGTGTGCAGTGAATGACATAAAAGTGAATAGCGAATTTCAAACTGGCTTGCGTCAATTTACAGGTGAGGAAAATAAAAACTATATGTATATATATATATTATGAGTTAAAGGCATCTTTTCATTGTGTCGCTCATCGTTGGTTTTTAAGCGATAAATAGGTCGTGCAATAATTTATTGATGACAATTCAGTCATGTGACCTTCGTTAAAAAAATAAGCAATGAGCATTCATACGAGACACGATCACAGCTGCCACCTTTCGATTAGTGTTCTATTAAAAAAATCGACGGAGTTCCCACTATTTTGCCAGAGATCAAAATTTGTGTTGTTTTCTAATATGTTTATAAAAAAAAAAGGATTATCTAAAAATCAATTTTTCTAAAAAGATTTTTCTAAAAATCAAAGGAAAATCGACACGTGCATTTAAAAAGAAAGATCACTAAAATTTTGAGCGATTAGTTAGAGATTTTTCAAAAAACTAAAATCTTTGGTCGGAAACCGGAGAGATGGCAACTATGGACACGAGTATGTACCAAAGAGTGTGTAATGCGGCCTATTTGTGATCAATCTGATGCAGACAGCACGGCTGTATCCTGCATAAGCGGTTTGTTGACCCAGCTTTCAGATTGTAAGGCAGATAAGGGAGATGACTAAAAAAACGTCCCACTGCTGAAGATAGCTTCTTTCGTCATCATCGTCATCATCCATCGCCTACATCATCCGTCGCCTCCTACTTCAGCTCACCCCAACGGCATAGACTCTTCTGTCGTGTGATTAAGCACGATTGACGAGAAGTTTCCGAGTGTTTGAACGTCTGTGACACGCGGATGTAGAACAAGTCGTGACTTCGTGACGAGGCACTTTTCTTTTTTCCTTCTCTTTCGTAGAGTTCTTCCTCTTGCAAATTTCTCTGGTTTTCACGCGGATTAGTGGGAGATTGCAATTCAGTGTTTACGTCGCAGTACAGTGCCAACATGGGCTTGGAAAGGTGAGTGAGATTGTTCGTTCTTTTGGATCTTTGTGAAGTTTTCATTAAAGAATTTCATCTGATCGCTCGTTTGGACTTTGGATATCAATTTTTTGGATTTTTTTTTCAGACATGTATTAAAATAAAGAATTTATAAAATAAAACTACTCTGAAATAAAATTTACTAAATTTTAATACATATCTCTGAACAACATTAAATAATTTGCTTGCACTGACTAAATATTTACTCAATAAAAAATGATGAGTTAAAAATTAAATTAATGATTTTTATATAAAATAAATATATGTTTACATTTAGTAAATATTTAGAACTATTCAAATAAATATTTATTAAATTTTAGTATTTTTTGAGTGTTGCAATACACGATGTAGAATCTATATATTTGATGAACATGATTGATATCTATTATATCTATAATTACGGTTTACTTTTTATCTAAGATTGTGATTTTGTTCTCTTATTTTATTTGATAAGTTAATTGCTGTTCGTTAATTGCCAGTTCAGATGATAAACATAATATTCTTTTCGATAATTCTATCATATCATAATGTAGTTATCGCAATTAAATATGTGTCAGTTTGTAAAAGCGAAGAAGCTTATGTAAAATATATCATAATTTTGTTTTAATATCTTTATATTTGAAAAATAATTTATGAAACAAGTGATTCACTGAACTAATCAAATCATATCATTGTTACAAATTTCTTTCGAAAATTTGTGATCGAAAATATCTATATAAGATTTTAGATATTTATTTATATGTTGATATTGAAATTCTTGGCGTTTTCATCAATTGCTTTCCTAAAATTAGGTACGAATGATATAACTGTTGTATGGTACATTTAATCGATTTCACGAGTCATTATAGGCACATTCAACAGAAGTCGATACTTATTTTTAGTAAGCACTTTGATTGAATTATACATTTGGATTTAGAGGGATAGAGTCTTATAATAGCAAGGAAAACTTCCAACGCAAAATAATTATTCTGCTGAACATGGTCATTGTATAACCAAAGTGTGTTGATGTATATGTAATGTTTTTGTCTATACATGTTAAATATGTCTATACATTCAATTTAAATATTGAATATTTTCAATACAGTGTGTATGTGAAAAGTGGAGTGCCAATTTCTAAATTTAACGTATTTAACGGGATTGTAACTTTATGCGACCATACAAATAAATACGGAACAGTGCATTACTGCATAAAAATATCAAAGAGGGGTATTGAACTGCATGCGCTGAAACGTAAATGAATAAACATATCATTAAATTGACCGGTTGCGCGCCAATTATTATGTTGGCGTTATTTTCCCGGCATAATTTTACAAAGTTAAAAGTATCAAACCAATTTTGCCAAACATGGGAAAAACACTCCTGTTAACGCCCGATAATGCTGTATTATTATGACATAATGAGACGACAATTATAAATTTGAAATCCGCTTCCTCGTATACAAAGCGACTAACAATCTCATTCTTATTAATATAATTTACAAATTCGTCATGTATATAACTACAGCCATCAATGTCTCTATCAATGTATATTATTGTTGCATAAAATACAAGTTAAATATTTAAATGCGAAGAACAGCAAGTATACCGAATCAAGTTTAGGAATTGCATGGAATGAGTTGCACATCGTTAAATGTCTAGGTCAATACTTATATGTATTAATGTATGTAAAGTATATATAGAGTTCTACAGAATGTCGCGCAAGCGTCAGATATTAGCGTGTGAAACTACTGATAAAATTTTCTGAACAGTTTGGATATTACAAGGAATTTTACGAATTTCTGTTTTCTTGAAAACATTTAAAAACATCTAAAAACTTTTTATATTAAGCTTAATAAATGAATAAAAACAGATAGAAGAAAAACAAATAATTATAGATTTATTTTTTTATTTAATTTCAAGTTGACTTTACTTCATTAAATTTGCATATTTGAAAAATAATTTTAGATGGATACTGATAAATGGAAAATTTATGATGAATGATGATCTTCTGAGATTTTCTGTTGTTGAAGAAAAGAATTTCATCGTCGGCAATTTGATTGGCGATAATCATTAATTATAATCCAGCATAATAGAGTACGTATTTCAGTATTCATTCAGCATTTTATTTTGCCTTTTCATCAAACACATCACGTATATTTCTCTTACAGTTCATTGCCACGATACATATATCTATGTCAATTAAGGTTCGATAACCATCAAGTCTTGCACAATGAATACTAACGCTGATTTGTACAAGAACTGATTCGCAAAAATCATACTTAAATCTTCATTTCATTTGATTTCCATCATATTTTTATTACAATGCGCGTATTGCAATTGCTCTTTCACGTTCACACAACTCTAGATCAAAAGGATATTCGTAATTGCGAATGAATTCTATTATTCCTTTATATACGAAAAAAAATATGTTTATGAAAACGTTAAGTGATAGCAATTTACATAATTTAATTCTTTTACGTTATTTTAGTAATCTAATTTTTTTAGATTCCATTATCTCAAAAATTCGCTGAACTACTACTAATTTTTTTTGTATAATTAATTAGTCATAGTAACAATTTAATCAGTGATACTTAATTAGTATCAGTTTGATACATAATTGAGTTAATCGGCAAAACTTTATACTTATCTACTATAAGAATGAATTTTTGTTTTAAAAAGAATAAATTGATTGCTTTGAAAAGAATGAATTGCAGTCTAAAAAGTGATCTTTTCAGTGTGTCTTATAAAAAAAACTTTTTTTAGCGTTGCTTCTAAATCATCCTTAAACATCGTCTCTCACATAAGAAATTTTTTCTTTTCAATTCTTCCTCGTTTGCATAGTTCGTAAGCACGTGTCACAGCGTGCTATTTCATAGCAGCATTTGCGCAAAGTGTGGCACAATATGAGATTAGTCCTTCAACAAAACGGTATCTTGTTTGTTAAATAATGACACGTGTCGAGAATTCGATCAGTCAATCACTTTTATCCAATATCACATACAACTGTTTTCGTTATCTAAAAGTAAATCTGTAAATATTACGGAAAATTTTACAAATAATTATGATGAAGCAATTGAATATGATTAATCTTGATTCGAGAACAATGTTTCACGTGTAAATGACTAATTTGTTGTCATAAGTAAAAATTTTCCATTATTCAAGAGATAAGAAAAGAATATATGAAAAAAAAGTGTAATTCTGGCGCAGTATAAAAAAACACATATATGAAACTGAAACAGAAATATAAAAAATTGTTTATAAATAATGGCACGAGTTTTAAGTGCAATCCAGTTTTGAGATATTATTTTAATTTCAAGTCGGACGAATGAATTTTACACAAATGTAATATAATTAATAGTGATATGATTATTTGCAATATGAAAGAAATAATATCTTTATGATCTTAAATACTAATTAAGTGATTAAGATTTTTATCAATATGTAAATGATAATTAAATTAATTGTAAGTGATAATTAATTATTGATCATTAATGATAACTTTATTAATTGATAATTATTTAAATTATAATTAAATTATCGATTAATAATAAGATTATAACATACATATAATCATCGCGTTGTAATTTGATTCTGTTAAAGCTTATCATTTCAGTATGGTATTAAATCTTATTTCCATATTTTCAATTATTAGTATCATTAATAACGTCATATTACTGCGTGATAAATGCGGTGAATGAAGAATGTCTACATTTTCCCCATAATTTATAACAAGGCCATGTACTCTCTTAAAATTAATGAAAATTTTACTGATTAAATATTCCACTGATTGGAGAGTATTACACTTATTTTAAATTCAAACATTCACACTTTGCTCTTTTGTATCTTATTGATTGTGATTAGTGGAACCAAGATTTTACTGTAAAAATATTAAATAACCGCATATATCAGCAAAATGTAACCTTCAAAGCTTTTTAAATTTATGATTGCTATTTCTTGGTAAAAGCCCTCATATCTATAGAAATAAAACTTGCATTTAATTATTCATATAAATTCATAGAATTATATATTCCACTTTTTTTGCTCCTAAATTTGTTATTCACATCACTGTTTTCAGCGATCTAATATCACTGATTGGAATAATTTACTACTAATACTTATTTTTATCAATATAGATTAATTTTAATCTTATAATTACTTCATCTTTCTCTAGTTCTAAGAATTAGGAAATGATAAAGAATCAGTTGAACTGAGATTAAAGTTAACTGAAAACAGGCATAACTGATTCTTTCCAGTGAGATCTCATTAAATGCAGTGGTATATTTTTAACTATTTATATATCTTCATTGTTTTTCAGTGATAAGATATTGATTTCATTTAAGAGAATGTTTTTATTTTGATTTTCATTTTTCATTGCTAAAAATTTAATTCGAATTAAGAATGAAATTTTTGCAAATTTGCACAATATTTTAATAAATTGAAATCTTTTTTATAATTATAATAAAATAATTTGAAATAATTGATATCACTTTAATGATCATGAATTGCTTTTAATCGACTCGAGAATCGACCATATTACTTTAATATTATTTATTTATAATGAAAATGTACATATGATAACATATCAAAGATTGGAAGAATAATTTAAGAAAAAGTTGTCTCTCCTTCGAAATATGACGTCTACGATTATATCTCAATAAATATCACTCTCTTATTATTGAACGTATCTATATATCAGTATATCTATATATCTCTTGTAAAAATCTCTATCACATATGTTTATACATATGTATAAACATTGGATTGATCAAATTAAAAACAATTGTTAAATATGCATTGTGATAAATATTATCTAAATAGGATATCGGTTAGATATCGTTAATACGTAAACGTTTATCTTGTGTTCCATGCCGTTATTTCTGTAGGAATGAATTTAATTTGATTTAACAAATGAGATGTCTCTCTCTCCACAAAATATTGAAGAAAGATGCTGATTCAATTCTTTCTAACGGAGCATAGATTTCCTATTAAGAACAGGAAATG